CTCCCACTACAATAGACTTTCAAAAAAGTCCTTCGTACGATTTTATATATGGGGCGGGACCTGTCGCGAATTTGTCGCTCGCTTGGCCGCTTCGCGGCCTAAAAAGCTCGCTCCGCTCGCTAAGAAACTCGTGAAACTCGATTTGGCGGTAGTTTCAATGGGTTTTTCAGAAGCTTTGTCATCTTTTAGTCATTTTTCTTGTTTGTAGTAGGAGCCCTTGTCACTCTGCTAATTTCGAAGCCCACACGTTGCAAAACCATTTTGTCGTCTTCTTTCGTCTTGGAGTCGAGGACGAAAACGGACAAGCTCTTTTTTCTTCTTTGGAGGCATTCACTTCCAAAATCCAGGGAAAAACAGTGAGCAACTATACTTGTAGACCATTGCGTGATCAGCTTGGTTCGACAGCGGCATGCGCGCGTATCAAGTATGACAGCTAGGACTTGTCAACGATCAATTAAAATGATTGGCATAGAAAAACTTTTGCGCTCCATAAGTCTGCACAGAAAAAACGTTTTTTCCTGGAATTTTTTTCAAAGAAAGCTCTTGATGAGCTCTACTTAATCATCTAAAAATGATGATTTTTTTTTACCCTGGATGACACCTTAAAACGAATGGCCATAACTGACGTTAAACTTACGTTTTAATAAACAAGTCTTTTCACCTAAATATCTGAAATATGCACTGGGATAGAGTCGAGTCAAGTGCGCTAGCAAGGCCGACTCGTTGGTAAACTCTAGGATCCATGCAACCGTCACCTTAACCTTGCCAATTGCCTTCAGCAGATTATCCAATTGCAACTTCCTTACGTATCAAGTAGTCGCCATTGATTTAGAATTGATATCTACTCAACTTACAAATAACAATAAGTGGCCGTTTCAAGAAGGGCGCCTTCCAATGGCCGCTTCAGTTCTCAGTAGGTGGTCGACTCAAGTTAACAAGTTAACGGAAAATAAAAAAAAGAAAAGAGGGGGAGGGGGGAAGGATATCAAGATATCAATACAGTGAAAAGAGTGGCGGTTCGTCAATGACCTGATCCACATAAGAACCTCACTCCATTACATCAAAAGGACCGATGGAATTGATATCCTAGTAGTATTGATGCCCACGCAACATTCGATCGCTGGTACTTTAGCTGCCTATCGAGTGAACGACTTCCATTGTTAGTTATACAATCATGTAACATGAGTAATGCTGGAATAGTGAGGACCAAATCGAAACAATTACCAAGATCAGCGACCCAAATCTGTTGCCAAATAATCCCGAACAGCACTTCACAATCGACAATACACCCTGATGGTCAAGCATCGAAACGTCGTGGTTCATCGAAGTGAATATCGCAAGAAAAAGCGATTGAACCGACTTTTTTTCTCGAAACAACACAAAAGGATGGAGTCTAAATCAATTCCGAGTTTTACCTTTCGATAGTAGTCTACAAAGTCAACAAAACTGGTGATTTAAGTAAAAAACGTTTCTGACACAATTGCCGAGTATAGATGATTAACTTCATTGCCATTTGTACTTGTACTTAGAGCGATTGTTTTATGTACCTAACTTAAACCTCCAGGCTTTCTGTTACTGATTGTCAAGTTTTTACAGAAAAGTAACTCGATCTGCGAACTCGTTTCCAGAGTTCTCTGAGCACTCTCCAAGCAATCGCTTTCAAGGAAACTATTTAAGTCCATTTAGAAAAGAAGAAAATGTCTGTATTTTGTGTGAAATAACTGGACATAATAATTCATTTTTAATAAAATGCTTTGTTTTCCATAGCTGTTTCTGACTTGTTGTAGACAATAGGTCTCCAGTGAAATTGTTATAAAACTTTAAAGACCTTTTATATATAAGATATATTATTTATAAGATATTTTGTACTTCCCACGCGAAAAGCATGCATCAATAAATGGTAAATAGGCGTGGCAAAGGCTTAAAAACAGTGACTGTCATATCATATTTTTCCCTATACCTTGTGTCCCTTATTCTTTTCTGACTCTCTATAGCTTCGCGTGGTTTTTGCGATAACGTATTTTTGGTTATGATATTAGCAATTATCACAATTCAGCCGTTCGAGAAGGTTGTTGTCCACCGCCGACCGTTAGTCTGAATACAGCTGGTTTTGAAGAATTTGCCAAGGGTGGAAGCCAATCGGAAACGGAGAAATATTTGAATGAATAATAAAACTATTTATTTAAACAAAATTGAGTTACATAACCACTGCACAAAACTTGCTTTTATTGCCAATAACAAATTAAATGCCGCAATTTTTATGATTCGCTAAGAAAGCCGACTGCATACAGACCTGTTCAGTTTGCGATTTTACCTGGTAAGTTGAAGCTATTGTCAATTTTTTTTTTCGACTTCTTCATTGTTAAGCTTTCCATTCTATTAATTATCAAGCCTTGAAAATATTGATTCTTCTACAGTTTCAATATTCACTGGCAAATTGTTACTATTGTCGCGATGTCAGACTTCTAACCACAAGATATTATGAAATATTCAGTCACTACGATCATTTATATTCATTTCTTTGAATAACGTACTTGTCTCAAGAAGGTCTATGAAAAAATATCTCCAGGGTTATAATTTGGCGGAAATCTATTTTCATTCTGTCAACCTTGGGGCTTTAATTAAATTTGCACTCTTCCTCAAACATTGTGAGCCAGCATAATGTTTTAAGGCCAAAAATACATTTTCAGTTCAGGACACATGTCGCCATATGGTATACATATAAAAGAAGGGTCTGGTCAGTTATAACTCAGAAACAAATTATATATCAGCTACATGAGTAGTTAAAATTAAACTACTCATAAACACTTGGCGCGTATCACTTCATCTCAAGTGTTTTAACATTCTATTTCATGTTGATTCTGATGTGATGCCATTTCGTAATAGTTAAGTGCTTATACTTAAACTTTTCACCGAACACTAGTTTTGAGAGAAAAGAACGAAAAACAACAGAAAATCGTTTTTACCTCTTGATAAATTGCCAATAACAAATTTAGTCTATTTATTAGTAAGTTCTAATTTAGATCATCAGAGGTAATTTAAAGTTTGACTTCTAATTAAAAGTAATTTGAATATAGTCTTCAAATACAGCTCACCGGTGTACAGAACGCGTCACTTGCTTGGAACCGTCAAGGAGAATTTTCCACGGCTCGATCAGAACCTAAGCAATTTAGCAAAGAGGTGATCGCAACATGAACCCTGTGTTGGAGAGAAAGCCCTGGGATGTTCGCAGTGGAATTTTTGCTGTTTCTGCCGTGTGTTTAGGTAAGCGGACTACGGCCGTGAATGGGAAACGCAGCTTGTTATATTCATTCGTGTCTTCCACAGAATTTTAAGATAAATTACTGTCAGTGAATATTTTGATAAAACGATATAAAGATCTTAATCTTAAAAACCAATTGAAAATACACTTGTCCTTAGTCTGGGACAGTTTTATATATATATATAGAATTTATATATATATATAGAAATATATATATAGAATATAGAAATATATATATAGAAATATATATTTTATATATATATATATATATATATATATTTCTATATTCTATATATATATATATATATATATATATATATATATATATATATATATATATATATATATATATATATATATAGGAGGGAGATCAATTGATCTTGAGCAGTACCCTTCGTGGCATAACGAATAAGAGTCAAAGCATCATTTATTCAAGTCTTTAGTTAGATGAATATATAATGAATTGTGACTGGGGTGTTTATAAAAACAAAACAAAAAGCAGAAATAACTTCCCTGTTTTAAGCGAAAACATGTTTCCTCCAACTATAAACGTTTTGGAAGAAATACTTCTAACCGGCTTTATGCTAAACTTTAACCTATTTTCAACGTTAATTACAGGCTTTTGGATCACCTATGATCTTCGGATCGCCACGTAGAAAACAAACTCCGCGAAAATTATAAAAGGAATTTTCGCGAACCTAAAACTCAATTGCGATTTTCTAGAAAAATCTGGACAATTAGAAGTTATGAAGAACGTACTTAATCATAAAAAGTCCATTTTGTAATTAATAAAATTCATGTACTTTACTTAATACTGAGACATTGCGATGCTATATTTACGGATGTTTGAAGTCTGGATATAATTTTAGGATGTCTACCATTGAATCTGCAGGGTTAAAACGAACAGCAAATGATATTTATTTTGCAAGATTTTGGCACGAAAACTTAATAATCGTACGTAAACAAGATCTTTAATCCCAGAATACAAAGCCTTGGGGGAAACTACGTTGCTCTAAAGATATATTTGTTTAAATATATGTCTTTCTCCGGGGACAGAATTACATATAAAACTGTTGACGGGAATGCTCGTCGGAAAATTCAAATTAAATCCCAAAGGGAGACCAATGAGGGTGTGGCTCAAGCTTAAACTGACCCCTAAGGGAAATTTCTGTTAGGTCAGTGTCAGGGCATTTTTTGTAAATTTTTTTAAGCACGGTACTAAACGATACCTGAGTGGGTAAATATAGTGACTTTCCATCCCAAATACCTAAAGCGAGACGACGAGCATCCCATAGAGTAGTAGCAATGACTAATAAGGGTAAGGTCAAGATGGCTGGATATTGGCCTCCTTCGTTTTGCGTTTTTACGGACCGAGAAGAAGTCTAGATCCATAAAAGGCAAAAATGAATCGGGCCAATATTCGGCCATCTGACGAAACAAGCTTGGTCCGAATAAAGAATGAATTATTTGGCCAAAAAGAAAACTTTTTCTTCGCCACTTGGCCAAGGGTAGGTAATTAGAACAAGAAACTCGTTTCATCTTGCTCGCTCGTGGGAGGCAGAGGCTACAGGCAGAAAAAAAAAATTAAAGCCAAAGGACCATTGTTTCAACAGGCTTAATCCTGATCATTGGACTTCTTGGCAATGGAATCGTGGTAGCAGTAATCTCAAACTTGCGCCGGCGAGGTCACAAAACGTCCGTTCAGCTCTTCCTCGTTAACTTGGCCGTCTCAGATCTGATGGTGTGTTTGCTGTGCATTCCCCTGACCATCTTCATAAATTTTTATTACCCAAATAAAATAGCCGAAAGAGATGTTGGTTTCTGCAAGCTGGCACGAGTTATGCAGGTAAAGATTTTAATGTACAATGTATTAAGAGCGAATGTCTGTAAAAATCGAGCAAAATTGAAATTTCGCTGCCACAGTCAAAAAATCATTTTCGCTCATATCTTGTCCATAGATAGGCATAAGTAAGCAACTAAACGTGGTGTAGTTTGTTTTTCAAAAGGCCGCTTGGATTTGGAGAAAATCGAAAAAATCAATTTTCGTGGTCGGCGACTTGAAAACAACCAAAATTTGAGGCAAAATGAGGCGGTCTCAAAACTTCCCTCGCACGCACACAGGAAGAAAGCGGGGTAAGATATTTCCCGATAAATCAATTTATAAAGGGCTCTACTTCTCGGTTGGTGATGAATTCTTATCTTAACGATAATCTGGAAGATAAACAATGTTATTTTAGTTTAGGTTTTTTTTCGACTAAACGAAATTTAAATTTAGGCTGAAAGTTCCGTTTCATATTTTAGGCATGTGCTACACCTTGGTTTGGCCTGAAACTCAAATCATTTGTTATTGAAACATTGTGCTAAAACATATGTAAGAATTGGCCTGGGTAATTAAATTTGTACTTCACACGAACCTTCTGAAGTTGAATAAATTTTGCTTGAAACATGAGACTTTTCAAGAAAGTCGGTTGGTTGTTGCTCGACAAGTCACGATGGCTGGGCTCTCCAAACGAAACTTAACTCACAATCGCACTTGTATTAAAGACAATTGTACTAAAACGATAATTTTTGTTACCTCAAATGCGTTTTCCCGTTCTTGTCAACTGGCATTGCGCCTTGTCCCATGCTAATCAACCGAAGATCCAAAAACTCGAGGAAACGTGGTGCGTGAAAATAACCTCAAACAGAACATGGCCTATCTTTTCCGCAGTCACACTTTTACATCCATTGCCATTTAAAAATTCTAGGTCTCACAAAAACTGCGATTTTGATAGTGAAACTTTCGGGCTGCCGATACCTCTTTGGTCATAAAAGTCTGGTCAAAAGTGTTGCGTGACAGTATTCACAGGCTTCCCAATCTAACCATTTGAGCGACGCCTTTTTTTAATGTTCTTGCCAGAAGTAGCATATTATGCTACTAACAATCCAAATCATGTTTTTTTTTTCTTTTTTTCCTAAGTTTTCTTAAAGTGTGCTTCCATACCATACTAAATAAGTCCAAAAACATCGTTTTTCACGTCAACTTTCCCCCGTTGCCTTGTATGTGCCTTTGATTGACTTCAGGCTTCAACCTCTAGCTATTTCACCGCGTTATTACCTATCAGGCGGCTGTCTTTCCTCTCATATATGCAAGTTCCATTTTTTTGGATAACAGTTTTCGTAAACTTTCTGATTTCGTAAATTTTTCTAATCTGAACATGGTTATTCGATCGTCAAACTCTTGTTTCAGTCTGTTTATATACAGAGGAACCCCGCCTTGGGATTACCCCGTTTATACGATCACCTCTTGCCTCAGCTCACCTCCCATAGTCTTTCACCCGGACGTGAAAATCTCCGAGTCATTTTATCATTTTGAAGACCTCTTTAATGCGACCACCTCGGTATCACGACCAGGATTTTATGGCCCAACGCTGGTCGCATCAACGGGGTTCCACTGTATTGAAATTAATAATAATAATAATAATAATAATAATAATAATAATAATAATAATAATAATAATAATAATAATAATAATAATAATAATAATAATAATAATAATAATTAATAATTGAAATTAATGTAAAGAATTAAAATTTAGGCCCCGCTTATATGAAGAAAATTTGTCTCGAGCAGAAGGGTCACCCGCCCATCCGAGCTTCCCTTAATAGGGAAAGGGCATGATCTCAGGCTAAGCTTCCCTGGAAGAGGCAACTTTTCACACATTTCCTTACTGAAAACATAGCGGACCGTTTAAATTACAAAACGTTTGCTCGGCTAGAAGGGTGACCCACTTTGTCCAGTCACCCTTTTGTAATGGTAGGGTCAGCCTCCTAGCCGAGCCAACGTTTCTCCGTAGGCACTTTACGCGCTTTCTATTGAATAAAAAAATTCCTGTTTGAAATTTCGGAAAAACCACGTGCCCAGTGGAAGGTACATTCCAGTTGCAAAGACCAAACCAAAGCCACCGCGAGTTTGGTTATCGTGCTTGTAAGCAGGATACAGATCATTGGTCCTAGGGAAAAAAATTTTGTCAAATGGAAGGAGACATTTCGGTCCGACCGTCTAGATCAAATCCGATCCGTATCGGTAAAGGGCTCGCATAGCCAAGGCGAGACAATTAGAGCATGCGCGAAGGCCGGTTGGGCCAATGTTTTTTTTTCGCTCGGCTAGGAGGGTGACTCTCCTACACGAGACAGGTTTCCTCCATATAAAGGGAATTAAAACTTTCGAATACAAAACTTGTAATAGAGAGGGAATCAGAAAAAATTTCAAAATTCACAAAAAAATAATATTCAAGCCCTTGTAATTTCGATCGAAAAGACTACTCAAGTTGCCCTGTGGATGACAGAACAGTTGTTATAATTATATGGCGCCGCAAAGAACTTAGTGATTTAGATAGCCTAAAAGGGTTTTCAATGTATTTAGGAGGAAACTGTCGTTGGGTGCCCCTGTCAACTATCGCCTAACGCTACCACTACTTTCTTTACCCACATAGTTTTTTTTTTCAGTTTTACTCTCGGTCATTTGCCATTTTCTGAGTGTGCGCTTTGGTACCAGTCTTGAGACTGAAACTTGGTGGCTCGTCAGAAATTCATGATCAGAACTCTTGAAAAGAAAGTCTCCGACCATAACTTTCTCTGGCAGTCATTAATGAAACGGATATTGAGGCTACATCCGCTTCTGGGTCCGTTCAATTCTCGTAAGTCCCGATAATTAACGGGCCCCTAAAGCTGTTGTTGTTTACATGCAAGATAGAAATTTCAATAGTTTTGCATCTAACATGATAAAACTATCAGTTAATGAAAAAATGAAGTATTTTGCTAGCCAGGACCCGCGCTCCTCACATTCCTTTTATATCGATTTAAATATTTGATATCGGGCCCGAAAAGTTATAGGGACTTTGGACAAACGGGCCCCAGGGACCCGTTTCTCGAAAGTCCCAATAATTAACGTGCCCGGTAAGCTGTCTCCGTTTACATTAAAGATCGAGGTTTTAATAGTTTTGCATCTAACATGATAAAACTATCAGTTAATGAAACAAAATGGAGTAGTTTGCTAGCCAGGAGCAGCGCTCTTATTCTTTATATTTCGATTTGAATATTTGATTTCGGGCCCAAAAAGTTACCGGGACTTTCGAGAAACGGGCCCCTGTGGTCCGTTGCCAAAGGCCGCAAGACAGAATTTACTGGAAAAGTAAACTTAATGCTTTTGCCTTAACAGTGTCCTTTTATCGTGAATTTGAAGACGTCAGGGCCTAAGCCACTGGTAAACACGTTTCATTCCAGTTTTTTAACTTGCTGTATCTGCGGTATATCTTCTTAGTGTCGGATTTTAAAGCTTGTTTGAGTAGCCGAGCATGCTGTAAGGAGGAAATTGTGTGATATACTTTGACATATCTTTTGGTAAAGGAATCAGAGACGAACAGGTCAGCGTTCTAGACCCCAGGTTTCTTTCATTGTATATATTCGATACTAGAAACTGAAACTCATGCCTTAAGTCTTCACACTTAAGGAGAGGTTTGTAGACTTGAAAATAGCGCTACGTCAACTACCACTCCACAAGGACGCCCTGCCTGGGTCGCGTTTCCCCAATTACTTTGCAATATTTTCTTAGTTGCGTGTGCTAATGTAAGTTTTTAATGCTGGTTAGCCTGTGCAAGCATTTGAAAAGGGGGAGACAGTGTTTAGAGCGAATTGCTTACCTAACATCCTTGAGAAAGAGTTACAGCTTAACCCTTTCTACGGATTCTCCTATCCCCTCAACGGCCTTTCCATCGGAGTCTTACTAGGTAGTACCCAAGTAAGATTCAGAGCCACCCTTCCCCCAAATATACATATGAAATAACGTGATTTTTTTATTGATTCTTCACTCAAAACAAAAAACGCTTCCGAGATCATTTATCCAGGTTGTCCAAAGTTTAAAACCTACTCAGTGTTCGTGTGTACTGGCAGGGTGTATGATTTTGATGTTTTCCAAATTCCTTAATAGTCATTGCTTTTATCACACGCGCAGGTGTCCGCAAAACTGACTTCCACTTTACACTTTTAAATCAAGTACTGTTGGCAGCCAGACTATGCAACCTTCCAGTTGTTGTATAATTGAACAAATAACTTTGGAAACATCCAAGAAATGTATAAACAATTTTGTTTTCTGTTCGAAGGATGGTGTTCGTTGTCACGCAACACCACTCCTTGTCTTCTCACACTTCCTCCCTGTATGTTGTAACTGATTCTATTAAGTGGTAAGAACATCTTTCAAATCGCCGAAAATGTCTTAAAAACATATTTTTCTCGTGAAATATTTTGTTCAACCACCTGAAGAATTTAGATCATAACGCTCATTCGGTTTGAGTGACATTTTAATAACCTGGCCCATCTCCAATGACCTCTCGTTAGAGGTCAAATTACAAAATGCCTTAGCGCCAGCAGAATTTTGGAGCTCGAGAGTAGAAAAAGTAAAACAAGTGCCCAAAACTATAAAGGTAAGTTAATTTCTATTGCATGTTAGCAAATTAACTATCGTAATATAAAGATACATCAGGTTTCTTCTCAAGAAATGCCAATGATCCCTTTCGGCAACAGCAAGCCATTGGTGAATTATGCAAATGTGTCATATTTCATTCAAAATTTGGTCAAGTTCAGAAGGTTCGTCTGAAGCGCAAATTAAATTACCCAAGCCAGTTCTTACATATGTTTTAGTACAATGTTTAGCTAACTTATAGCTTGAGTTTCAGGAAAAACCAAGGTGTAGCACATGCCTAAAAATTAAATCGCAACTTTAGGTCTAAATTTAAACTTCGTTGAGTTGAAAAAGAACCAAAACTAAAATAAAATTGTTTACCTTCCACATTATCGTTAAGATAAGAATTAACCGCCACACTCGGGCTAAAACCCTTTATAAATTGATTTATCGGGGAATATTTTACCGCGCTTTCTTCCTTTTTTGCGTGCGAGTGAAGTTTTGAGACCGCCTCATTTTGCGCCAAATTTTGGTTGTTTTCAAGTCGCCGACCACGAAAATTGATTTTGTCGATTTTCTCCAAATCCAAGCGGCCTTTTGAAAAACAAACTACACCACGTTTAGTTACTTACTAATAAGTATGTATGGACAAGAAATGAGCGAAATTTAATTTTTGACCGTGGCCGCCGGTTGCTCGATTTTTACAGACATTCGCTCTTAACTGCCACGATTTCAGAGGACCTGGTGGAACTGATAGGCGTCACACCACTAATCAAGCAAAATAATTAAAAGTAATGTTTCAGTGAAAACAGCAGTCTGCTACACAGCCGTTTTTAGTGTCGTCACGCAATTAGTGGGGAAGAGCGTTGCGTGACGACTCTAAAAACGGCTGTGTAGCAGACTATGAAAACAGTTAAGATCAAAGCTCTTTAATCTCGCGGGAATAATGTTCCCAGGGCACCAGTTCATTCGTTTCCAAGCGACGCACGTCAACTAGAAGAAGCCTTTTTGCAATATTTAGCAGTAATGTCTCGCCTAAATGTTTTGGCAAGTCCTCTCTACAAGAGCCAAGACACTATAGCTAAACATTACAAATTTCAGCGTCGAAATAGTTTAAACAATCAGAGACAACAAACGGAACTTTCTCCTGCGCCCACTGAGGAAACATCAGTAACAATTAATAAACGCGTCTTTTCCAGTCTTCAAGAAAAGTGCGATTTTGTTGCTCATTATTATGTGGGCAAGTCCTTTTGTTATCTCCGGGATTGGTTTGGTCTATAAGTCAGGAGATTTTTAATCGGAAATCTAAAGCCGAATGTCGTGTTCAGTGATTACTGTACAACGTTTTGTAGTGTAAATAATTCTTCCAACGAATCCGGATACTTTTCCGCTAGTGATCATATGAGTTTGCGGTAAAACCAATTGAGAGGAAAATGACGGGCGTAAAAGTTCCCGCTTGAATGTCTCTGGATTTATCGATGTAGGCGAACGCTTGAGAATCCAAATACCCTGAATATATTCAATGTGAAAACACTTATAAATGCGAAAACCACTGGCCTCCAGTGCAAACTTTGCCTGTTATTTTACAGTACGAAATATGGTAATAATATACAACTTTTCGTATCTTCTTCACCTGTAGTCAAACCATATCCACAGTATTGCATATTTACTTTATTCCTTTTCCGTAGCACCTTAACCCTGTAATCTCAGTCAGCCTGATGACAGCAATAAGTGTTGATCGATACATGACATTTGTGAAGCAGGAACTAACGTGCATCAATAGATCTTGGTATCTCAGGCCGGCCTGGTTGATCTTCTTTGCTTGGGTATACGGTACAGTTCAATGCCTTCCCATTTTTTATACAAGCAATTTCATTCCTCTTGATTATAATAACAGCACCATCTACTACTGCAGCACTACACACGGCCAGTCTCTTGTTGGGACGATTTACCTCGTTGCCTCAGTCTTACTTGGGTTCGTGATACCTTTAGCAGTCTTAACTATATCATATCGCAGAATTATAAAAGTGATATCGACCAGGAATCGCAGACTTTCTGCGACTGTAGGGGATATATCCAATCCCACAATCACAAATGCCAAGTTGCTGGAAAGGTCCAGAAAGAGAGTTCTTCGCGTGTTGGTGATTGTAGTTGTTTGTTTTGTCGTCTGCTGGTTGCCTTTCGCTCTCTACTTTGGGCTACTGGTGCAGCATCTCAGGGAATTTCCAAACGTTATGGATCCGGTGAGTCTCATAACCTATGGACTGGGCATATCAAACTCAGTCTTTAACCCTTTTATTTACTTCTTCAACGTTTGCGGTAAGTCCTGTCGTTCTATGAGAAGTAGATTTCTTGAGGTAATGGGAAGTAGTCGGGAGAGGACATCAGTGGAAAGTGTAGGAACAAGTTCGACCTGTTGAGGGACCGCCTGCGTAGCCGAACAAGACAAGGACGTAATAGAGTTAGATGTAACCTCTCCTTCTCTTGTCCGATCAAACATTGATAATACATGTACAAGAGTTGCATTCGTTAACGAACTTGCAGAGTTTCAAGGAGAAGGTCTGGATACCAAGTTCTAAATCGCTGCGTGATTGCATCAGTATCGGCTTCATTAAAGATGTTTTGTTAACTAGGTGCTCCTCCCGGCCTGTAAATTTTAACACACTGCGCCTCTCACATCCGATTAAATTAATATTTAAAAAAAAGATAACGTACTTTACCGAAGAGTGGAATTTGTTTTCTTTGGAGGTCATTTTGAATTTTGCGGTCAGCTGGTGCGAGGTCTGGAACCGAAAAATCTTTGGAGCCACTCATAGCATCGGACCTTCCGATAGTTTTCCGACTTTCTCAGATCCGTTCGCAGATTATTCAAATTATTCTTGGTTTCAGGTCCTACCGACAAAATGACCGCCAAAGAAAACAAATTCCACGCATCGACAAAGTAAATCATATTTATAAAAGAACAACAACAAATATACGATGTGATCGAATGTGTCCCTCCTGTATTTGAATCAATGATGGTCAAGTGGTTAGAAAATAGAGTTACAGCAGTAGCCTAAAAACGTTACCGTAGCAGAGCATAGAAATAATTATAATTGTATGATCGATTTAAAATATTTATCCGCGGGTTAATATTCAGAATCATTTATTATTCATAACCTGCTGACGCTCACCAAATTTGAAAGATACATTATACCATAATAGATGTCAGTCACTCAGACGAAAATGATTGCCTGAATATCTTATATGGATAATAAAGCAATAATTGCATTCCCCTTTCCTATCATAAGTAGCAATTACTGGATGAGCCTGAGTATAACCTTAAGAATTATGCAGATCGATGGGCCGACGGCCAAGGTCGCTAACACAGTTTGAGATCTGATAATTCTTCAGGGCATACAAAAGCTGCCTTCAATAACCGTTTTATTGAACATTCGTTCAAAATAATCCATACTTTAAAAACAATCTAAGACATGCGGATCATTACACGTTTCTGGGAAACTGCCCACCGACCCCTCCCCTAAGCCAACATTAACACTTACTTCTCATTTAGGGTAAGGATAGGTAGGCAGTTTCCAAGGAAAGTATAATTGCTTACCTTAATCGATGTTGAGTTCCCGTCTGCATTTGCCTGTTCCTTGGCAAATTCGGCAGATTAACAGGATTAATGTGGCTGGGAAAGGTCAAATAAATTTAGATAGCTGTCTAAACATATCCATACAACTACATTTGCTTTTACATGCACAGTTGGCGGTTTTGATACCAGATAGGAATATTTCTTAAAACTAAACGCCAAAGGTGCCAAGAGTATTGAAGCTTCGGCAAAACGGGAAGCAAAAACATGCAACTTGTTTTCCAATATTGCTGCAAAACGCCGAGTTGAAAAGCGATCTTTTACCACCCTCGTTCATACCTGTTAACAACTTCGGTGAGTCATTGCAAGGCAGGGTTGATGAGGGTGGTAAAACGCCCAACATCGCTATTCAACTCGTTTGGCAGCAACGTTGCAGAACAAGCTGCATGTTTTTTGTATGCCCGTTTTACCGCACCTTAATGCTAAGTGTTTGTAAGTCAGTGGCGCTCCAACGGTCGCCATGACTACGGGATAGGTGCAAGGTGCAAGCGGCAAGGCTCCTGTATAGGTGTAAATTATGCAAATCATCAAATCATACAAAGTCAGTCTTCCGTATCTTAATTACTTCTTAAGGCGGCCCGGACCTATTTATTTGCGCGTTAGTTATGTTTTTGGGTTTTTTTGGCAGAAATGCTGATTTAACCGATTTCTATGATTTTTGGGATCGTCAATAAAGAATGTTCAAACTTCAAGAAACTGTTATTTATTTTCTTGTAGCTATAAAAACGTTTGAGATATCGGCATCTGTTTAAAACCACACTTTTACAAAAAATATCAGTAACTATGAAACCCTAAGACAGATTTTTCTCTAACTTCAGCAAATAAGCCTTTGAGCTCTCTAGTTTTATATCTGCAAGTGTGAAGTCTATCGTGACCGTAGAACTCGCTGCACAAATAGCTGGTCAAATTTAACCTTAAAATGCAACGCTAACACATTTGTGAAATTTGACGCACAAATAGAGAAAAACTGCCGTGTCTGCAAGGGTATTCTAAGCCAAAGCTTTATTATTGCAAGAAACTGAGTAATCATAAACCTACGGCGAATAGAGTTCGCAATACAAGAAGAACAACTTTATGCTGAAGCAAGATTAATGCTGAAGCAAGATTAATGAACACCCATTTATCAAAGTTACCGTGTATTTGCCCTTCTCTTTATAATTTTCGAATGAAAAATCTCAACAAAGCAAGATATAACATCTTCGGAAATCTCCTGCCAATTTTTAGCACCGAAGGTTCCCGTCTTGAGCAGAAATAAAGCCACCAACCCCAGTTCCTCAACCGATCCATTTTCAGCTGCAATGAAAACCGTTGTATTAAGTAACTTATCAAACATGTTAGATTTGCCATCACATTCGCACGAGCAGTTTGTCATTGGGGATAATGAAAAGAATAAGAGGATTGTCATATTTTCTTCATCTTTATCCCCAAGTGGCAAACTTCCCGTGCGAATGTGATGTCAAGTCTAAAAAGCTTGAATAAATTACCAAGTACAAAGGCTTTCAGTGCAGCCGAAAAATGGACGGTTAGAAGTACTGGAGTTGGTGGCCCTATTTCTCCTCAAAACGGAAACCTGCGACGCTAAAAAATCTTGAGAGTTTTTCCTAGATGCTATATTTTGCCTTGTAAAATAGGTTTCGAAACTGTCAGCCGAGATGCCATCTCGTGCCTCCTACCTTGTGTATTATAATTATTGTATGGCATGTTATCATGAAACTTCGTTTGATCACTTAGGACAAAAACAACTAACTGCAGAGTAAGTTTCATTGACCTTTATTTAGTATTTCCTACAAAACTTACGATCGTATTTTTTACCCCATAAAAACACCGTAATTTTACTGGAGCATTACTGTGGTACTATCACAGTAATTCCCCTGCAATTGAAATGCATGGAAGCCATAAAAGTGGCAAATAACCATCAAACCCTGATGCAATCACAATCAGCCTAGCATGCAGTGGAGGCGTATTTTAGGCGTGCGAAAGCTGCTTGTTTATGTTGGGTTGGACAGCTGTCATGGCACTTTCGCGAGGAAAAACATTTGCGTGCTCGAAGAAAACGCCCACACCGCAGGTTACCCCTACAGCAATCCCACGCTCTTGTTTAAAACTCAGACTCAAGAAAACTCGCTAAACGCTTTTTCTGTTAAAATCTGCCTTAGTTGTATTTCTTTCACTTTGTTTTTTGTACTTCTTCATTGTTTATTAATTATCAAGCCTTGAAAATATTGATTCTTCTACAGTTTCAATATTCACTGGCAAATTATTACTATTGTCGCGATGTCAGACTTCTAACTACAAGATATTGTAAACTATTCAGTCACTACGATCATTTAGATTTATTTGTTTGAATAACGTACTTATCTTAAGAAGGTCTGTGAAAAATATCTCCAGGGGTATAATTTGGCCGAAATCTATTCTCATTCTGTCAACCTTGGGGCTTTAATTAAATTTGCACTCTTCCTCAAAAATTGTGAGCCAGTATAATGTTTTAAGGCCAAAAATATATATTCAGTTCAGGAAACATGTTGCCATAAGGTATACATATAAAAGAAGGATCTGGTCAGTTATAACTCTGAAACAAATTATATATCAGCTACATGAGTAGTTAAAATGAAGCTACTGATAAACACCTGGCGCATTTCTATTCATCTGAAATGCTTTTGACTTTCTTTTTCATGTTGATTCTGGTGTGATGCCATTCCGTAATAGTTAAGTGCTTATATTTAAAACTTTTCACCGAATATTAGTTTTGAGATTCGAGAAAAGAACGAAAAACAACAGAAAATCGTTTTTACCTCTTGATAAATTGGCAATAAAAAATTAAGTCTATTTATGAGTAAGTTCTAATTTTGATCATCAGAGCTAATTTGAAGTTTGACTTTTAAAGTAATTTGAATATAGTATTCAAATACAACTCACCGGGGTACAGAACGCGTCACTTGCTTGGCACTTTCAAGGAGAATTTTCCACGGCTCAAGCAGAACCTAAACTATTTAGCAAAGAGGTGATCGCAACATGAACCCTGTGTTGGAGAAAAAGCCCTGGGATGTTCGCAGTGGAATTTTTGCTGTTTCTGCCGTGTGTCTAGGTAAGCGGACTACGGCCGTGAACGGGAAAGGCAGCTTGTTATATTCATTCGTGTCTTCCACAGAATTTTAAGATAAATTACTGTCAGTATATATTTTGATAAAACGAAATGAAGATCTTAATCTTAAAAACCAGTTGAAAATACACTTGTTCTTATTCTGGGACAGTTTTTTATATATAAAGGAGGGAGATCAGTTGATCTTGAACAGTATCCTTCGTGGCATAACGAATAAGAGTCAAAGCATCATTTATGCAAGTCTTTAGTTAGATGAATGTATAATGAATTGTGACTGGGTTGTTTATAAAAACAAAACAAAAAGCAGACATAATTTTCCTGTTTTAAACGAAAACATGTTTCCTCCAATTGTAAACGTTTTGCAAGAGATATTTCTAACCGGCTTTATGCTAAACTTTAACCTATTTTCAACATTAATTACAGGCTTTTGGATCACGTCTGATCTTCCGATCGCTACGTAGAAAACAAACTCCGCGAAAATTATAAAAGGAAATTTCGACAACCTAACTGAATTGCGATTTTCTAGAAAAATCTTGACAATTAGAAGTTATGAAGAACGTTCTTACTTTTGGAATTTTGGAATTAATAAAATTCATGTACTTTACTTAATACTCAGACATTGCGATGCTATATTTACAGATGTTTGAAGTCTGGATTTAATTTTTGGATGTCTACCATTGAATCTA